ACTTAAAATATGTAAAACTTTAAATATATTATCCATGAAAAATTTAAAAATTCACCAAATGTAACCTAGAAAAAAAAAAACAAAAAGTTACTGTTCAGGGCATATTGGGACCGATCCCGGTCCGAATAACTATATACGGACCGGGATCGGTCCGTATATATTATTCAAAAAAAATAAAAAAATAGATTTATTTTATTTAATAATTACGTAATATTACCAAATAATGCAAAAATATATTTTACTTTTTAAAATAAATGCATTTATAAAAAAATAAAATATGCTTGTAATAATTACTTAAAATAATGACTTAAAATATGTAAAACTTTAAATATATTATAAATGAAAAATTTTAAAATTCACCAAAAGTAACCTAGAAAAAAAAATAAAAAGTTACTGTTCAGGACATATTGGGACCGGGATCGGTCCGTATATTTTCATTAAAAATAATAATTCATTCCTAATTTTTGTCATTTAATCTTTATTTTTTACACTATTCTTCTGGGCTAATGCTGGACCCAACTAAACCCAACCCAATTTATGCTTTGCCCTTAAAATTGTTGGGCTTTTCTAACCCGTGTAGACACAATTTTCTTATAAATGAAAATGAATATTGAAAAAGGTAAAACTAACATTAATTTACAAAACAAAACAAATTTGTTATGCAAATGAAAAAAAATATAAAATCTATTTAAGAGAGAGATCGGAAAAGGATAGAGTTGACTTTATCTTCTTTAGTCCTCTTTAGATATTGTGATACTTCATAGACTTTGGTACCAAAATAAGTGTACTTAATGATAATGTATACGTTATAGGACATGTATGCTATCACGGTGTCTGGAACCCTAACCGCTGGAGAGATATAACTTGTTTTCACAGTTTGACCAAGGAAATGATCATTACTACTAACCAAACATAACTTAAATATTAAATCTACTAGTAGATAAATATTATATTATGGACCATATTTAAGGTTGAAGTCTTAATACCAGCACTTAGCACTCACAGATAATAATTTCTGTGAATGCATGTAATTAATGTAAGGGCCCTTAAAATAATCCAAAGAGGGATAGTCTTTAGGTGTGTTCAAACTAACTCAAAGATAAAGAATAGAATTTATATAAATAGAAATCAAAAGGTTAATAAAGGGTTGGTGCACACAACCCCTAGAGTGCTTGAATTCTGGATTGATTTCAAAATGAATTTCACATTCCCAAAACATGGTTGCAGAGACAGGGTAAAAAGAAATGGCAGCACATATGCAGGCATCGGTTTTGACAGCGAGCACTGTTGGTGTGCCTTTTCCGGATGAAACAATTGATGGATCTGAAGGAAGCTATGGTAGTGAAAGCCAGTATGTTTATAAATTAGAAGACTTTAATTCATATCCTGTTTTCTGCAAATTTTGTGCTGTTATGCTTTATTTTATGTCGCATTTTTTCAAAGAAATTGTCTTCTTTTTTTTTTTTCGATTGGAAGAAATTTTGTCTTTAAGCTTATAATTGTGAAGGAATTGATCAGAAGAGCAAAGGATAAGTAAGTTTCTCCATTTAAGTAAAGGTTTCCTCAATTCATGGGTTTTTATGTTTACTTTTGTTTTATGTAATGTGATGTGAAGTCATGGATTCGGAAGTTGATGGTATGACTTCGGCCATGTTGGAAAGTTGCACTATATAGTAATTTTCTTTTATTTTATTTTTAAAAAAATCTGTGATATAATCATATAAATACAAGAAAAATTATTTTATTTACTCTTAATTAGTTTTAACTTAAATATAAGTAATGCCACACATACACGTCTAATTTGCTGATATATTGAAATGCAAGGTAAACTAAAATTTCATTCCCTCTTTATTTGCATATAATAACAAAAAATTTACATCTCAATGTAAACAGAAAAGCTAATTAGAGACCAAGAAACAGATAATAATTTAATAAGAAAATAAATTTTGGAGACGGGGAAATGGATAAGCAGTAGTCAATTTCGAAACAAAAGAATGAAGAGACTGCCAATGTTTGTGTAATCCCATCTAAACGCTCCTCTCCAGCATCTCTTGATACCTTTTGAAGGACAAGAGCTTTTGCATGCGCATCTGCTTGTGGAACCTCGTTATGAACAAGTCTGCCACATGGTCGATCTCGTCTTCCAGTCTGAACTCTTCTCCTCCTTCCTCTTTCGCGTGCCTTACAAGTTCGATGATGGATCCTCCCTCATCCTCCTCCAAGTCCATTTCTTCATCAAACAGCGAGTGCCTAAGATCCGGATACTTGTCATCCTCATCCTCATCAGGATACTCATCATGAGCATAGCTTGAGCTTGGATATGACTTGTTGGCCTTGGCATCGTAGAGAACAATGGTCTTGCTTTGGTCATCTTCGCTTTCTTGTTCATGCTGGTCATGACCACCTAAGAGATTGTTGATCTTGTTTGAGATGGAACCCATCAATAAGGCCTTTTTGTTCTTCATGAGAAAGAACATGATGAGGCGAGCTTTGAATGCACTAGTTTTGCTCTTGATGGCCATGGACTTGGCTTTTGCAATTGAACCCAACAGAGAGATGATCTGTTTCAACAACCTGGAAGCTTTGTTCTTCATGATTTTCTCAGGTACGTACGTAGTTAATTAGTGATGAAGGACACAGTACAATAGGAAATTGAGATGGGGCCTAAAGTGCTTGATGGGTTTATATAGACTTCAAAAAGCAAATGCTTTATGTGTTGGACTTGGGAAGGAGAGTCGGCTGAAAGTGGGTGATAACCAGAGGAAGCTTCCATATCTTTAACTCAACCACGTGTTGTTAATCCATTGGCTAGATTGCAAGACATAAAAAGGTATGCAGGCCTTTTTGGGTACTCAAGACTGAATAAAGCAAAGCCAGGAAATGGGGATAAAGTGACCCTAGAGAGAGGTGAAAGTTCCAAAAAGTTAATTTAAAAGAAAGGCAGATGTGATATGTGTTACTGGTGCGCAAGAATATATGCTTTGCTTGGCCGTGTTAACATCCTCAGTTTCGAATTCAACCGTATGGTTCAACTTCTCAAAGGAAGAGGGTGGGGCTTACCTTATTTGGGAATTGAATCTTCAATTTCTAACAAATAAATAACTTAATTTACTCATTATTGTCCTTGTCAAAAAAAAAAAAAAATTATATCAAATTGTAAAACATAAATCATTAAATGAGAAAAGACCCTTAAAACTCTCATCTAATGTATAATATTGT